ATTTTCTCGAAGTTGTACTTGTCGTCGAGATCTTCTTCTTCGTCGAGCGGCGTTCTTGTTGGCCTGTTTCAAGGCCTTTGTCGCCTCACTGGACATCTTTCGACCCGATACCCGTCGTCTTGGCGCGGGTTTGGTTGAAGCTGAGCCCACTCCATCAGGGGAGGGGCTGTCCAAGCAATCTGGCCCAAAGGAGAGGTCTTCCTTCGGCATAGGAGCAACAGTTAGAGCTTTAGTCTTCTTGGAGACTTTGCGGATCTTGCGCATAGCCTTGGGGCTAAGGGATCCAGAGGAAATGGCTTCCTCATACTTGACTTGATCAAACTCTACCACAAGAGTTTTGACGGTTGTTCCAGTGAGATGAACATCGAATTGCGCCACCACTTCTTCGTCACAGAAGCTTGTCCCCAGCGGAGTCGCCATCTTTTGTTTGTGGGAAAATTTGCAGTAAAAGAAATGAAAGAAAATTGACTTGTATTCTCTTAAAATCGATTACAAAAGAAAGAAATGATCTGGATTCTCCCTTTGTTAATGTCTGGAGTCTCACGGTGGCGATGAAGCCTCCCTCGTGATGCCGAGCGAGTTGGCTTCTCGTTGACGATCCGACTCTTGTATCACTGGAAACTAATCTCCTCCTACGATTTCAGCGTGGGAGAACTCTGAAGCGAGTTAAAACTCTATAAGAGTTGATTTAACGACGGGGGGAGCCAAGATGAAGAAGACTTGTGCTGATCTCCAAAGCTCCAACCGAAGGATGAAGGATCTCTTTCGCTGCCAATCAAGTTCCAACGACCGCCCCAAAACCAGCCCAGATCTCTTCTTTGCTGCCACACAGAAAGAACTAAAAGACCGCCATGAACTAGAATTGATTTTCGGATTATAGGGATTAAGGGGTATAACCACCTCCTTAATTCGCTCCTAATGGGGCTAATGGGAGTAACCCCCCAAATTCACCCTGAGTGGAGTTTGATCTCCCTCAAATCGTGGAGGGAAAACGGTTCCTGCAACCGTTCAGCTCGTGTTTGAACGAGTCAAACGCAAATCCTGTATTCTGGAATGAAATAAATCTGCGTTTGAACGCAGTGTTTGCGAGCTGCGTCTGGCAGCGAGTGAAGCTGCGTTGGGCGGCGAATAGAGCTGCGTTGTGCAGCGATATTGAGCTGCGTTGTGCAGCGATATTGAGCTGCGTCGGGCAGCGATGTTAGAGCTGCGTCTGGGTTGCGTTTGCAGCGATTTGGAAGCTGCGTTTGGCAGCGATTTGAGCTGCGTCTGTCAGCGATTAGAGCTGTGTCTGGGTTGCGTTTGCAGCGATTTGGAAGCTGCGTTTGAGCTGCGTTCGTGGCTATGAACGCGGTGCGTCTTAATGCTGGTGTGCGGGGAGGACTTTCGCAGCTTGATTTGAAGAGACCGTCGATTTGTAGTCTCTTTCTGTCGAAGCGTTGCAAAGATCGTTGTTTTGTAATCTTTACTTTAGCTCTTTGATATGCAAGAGTCGTCAGATTGTAACTCTCGATGTTGATGGTGAAGGCTGTTAACCTAGAGCTCTCATCGGTTGTCGTGAAGGTCGTCAGATTGTAACCTTCAGCGATCTACGTGAAAGTCTTCAAATTGTAGCCTTCTGGAAGTCGTCAGATTGTAACTTCCATCATCGGTGTTTTGATGGGGATCAGCTATCTATTGTGATTTTTTTGACAGCCTACAATCCTTTCTTGTGAATTTTTGAATGATCTTATCTATGCTTGGGATATCTATTAGCATTTTTTGATGCCTACATGCACCTCCCATCTTCAAATGTTGTTATCATTAAATCTCATACTACTAATGAATGCACAGGGTAATGAGGAGAGGGAAAATAAGGATGGAAACATAGAAGCAAGGGTAAATGGTCCTACCCATTTGTCTAGCCAAAATAAAACTTGATTTCCATTTCCAACCACAACATGTGTACTGCATAGAAAGCAATAAGCAATAGTAAAAAGATTTCTCCAAAAATGTGAAAGTTTTAATCTTTCAGCATTTAAAAACATTGTCCATGTTTTTTTTCAAATTGAACATGACCACTAATTTGTTTCCAAAGGCTATATTTCCCATCCAACCACTTCCAAAGCCATTTTCCCAAAAAGGCTTAATTCATAATTTTCAAATTCTTAATTCCCAAACCTCCACAAAATTTTGGTTTATAAATTTCTTCCCATTTAACCAAATTTGAACAACTCTTATGCTCAGAAGATCCAGTCCACAAAAATCTCCTTTTCATTTTATTAATTTTTTAATCACCCATGATGGAAATAAAGAGAAAGATAGCTAAAAAACTGGCATAGATGATAGAACAGAATTAACTAGCACTAATCTACCTCCTCGTGATAAAGATTTACCTTTCCATAAAGATAATCTTTTCTCTATTTTGTTGGTCAAAGGAAACCAATCCTCTTTTTTTAACCTTCCAGGTCGTAATGGAATCCTAAGATAAGTAATAGGAAAATTATCACTCTTGCAATTCATCATAGTAGCCAAACTTTGTTGTAAGGACTCATTATTTTCCAGAGCAATTAGAATACTCTTATTGAAACTAATTTTTAAACCAGAGGCAAGTTCAAAACAATAAAGGATCA